CGGGTGGCATGATACTAGTCACGTGACCTCGCTGATGCAACAATGCCTTAATTTTTCTATTGTCCATGTAGCATTCTTTTGTATGTTGGCTAACATAATGTATCGAAATAACTTATCAACCTATCCATAATGTTACAATAATGTGATGTTAATTACTCGAGGCAGCTGTTAAAATAGTTGGTAATGCCTTTATTTTTCAGGTGTACATGCAGAATTCTCTTGCCATTATGTTAAGAACATAAGGTTATATGTAGAATCTAATTTTTTTTTACCTTTCGCTTGTATTATAGGAGATAATAATCAACTTCCAGTTCAGTGTAAGGTAAGGAGTGAGAATGTGATTCTTTTTTGAGTATATGCTGCTCCTAAATGCATCATGGATAGTTAGAATTTTTTGATGTATTGTGGTTTGTACATTAATATCCAGTATTTACTGCTTTTTTTACAGCATTACTGAACAACGAGTAACCATAACCTGCATGGTAGCTGAAGGGGCAACAAGTGCAGCAGTAGCAACTCCTACATGTTGTGGCATAAAACCATAGAACTGAGATTTATTTTTGAAGCATTCAATCAGAATTTATACTTGGGACTTGCAGTAAATTGTTATTTTATGTAAGTATTCAATATCCAAGCATAATGTCTGATGATGAGAGCAGAGATTCAAGAGGTGATAACTCTTGCCGAAATGGTATTGACTGTGATGATATTTGCCGTGATTTTCTCCGCAATGTGTGCAGGCGAGGCAGGCGTTGCAAATATAAGCATCCTGAAGCCAAAAATGACTCTGCAGATGCAGGAAGAAAGCAAAAAATTGAATTTTGTCATGATTTTCAAAACAAGGAGTGTAATAGAGCAAGTTGTAAATTTTTGCATTGTACTAGAAAGGAAGAAGAATTTTATCATGCTACTGGAAAATTACCGGAACATATTCAAGAAGCTTTGTCAATGGGCAGATCTATACCTCCTTTATGTAAAGATTTTCTAAAAGGATTTTGCAGGAGAAAAAGGCGCTGTAAATTTCGGCATGTTTCTATCGAAGAATACAATATAGAAATGGGATGTCAAGGAGAAGCACCAAACAGAAAGGAAATGGATCGATATGAAGAACAATTTGGCTTTGATATTTATGAACCAGAAGCTAAACGAAGAGCTTTTAATGGCCCATTTAATTCCATGGAATATACACTAAGAAGTGATACTCATCACTTGTTGCCCTCCCCAATGTCAATCCACAGCAATTTTCGGTTGCTTGAGGAAGAAAATGTAAATTTGCAGCGCAAAGTTGAAGAGCTGAAACAACAAGTTACTGAACTGACTGCAACTAATGAATTTTTGTTGGATCAAAATGCACAGCTCCGTCTCAGTAAGCAAGCAACAATGATTCCTGTTAGCCAGGTTATCAATCCTCACACCATGAGCCCCAGTGCTGGCCCTATTCCACAGACTATCTCGCAGTTTAACAGTGATCTTGCAGCCACTCTTCCCCGTCAGAGGATTGCACCAGAGTTAACTGGGCCTACTCCTCACAATATGACTTCAATTGTCCATGTTACTTTGGCCCAACAAGGCATGGCACCTGTTACTATAACGGGGGTATCTCAGAATTTATGTCAGACTATTTCTATCAGTGCACCTTCTACTCCATTGGTTTCTTACCCAATCATGACCCAAAGCTTGCGACCAGTTATCCCCCACAGTTTGAATCACTGAATTTTTTTTTTTCATCTGAGGTTGATATGGTATACTTATTGTGTTGTTTGTTTGATAACATTAAGTTTCTTAAGTGACAGATGTGGTTGAAACAATGAAGAAAGCATTTTTGCATAGAATTTTTTTATATCATAGGTGAATAGTTATAATGCATTTTATTTACTATATGTTAGAATGATCTGCTAATGTAAAAAACAAATGTATTAATCTAATATAGCTATTTCAAAGTGTACTATTAAATTATTTGTTGTTATTGCACATAGATTAAGTGTAGGAGTTTGGGCTGATGATGTTTATGAAGCATAATGAAACCAATCTGGTTAATATTGGTTTTAGAAGTACATTTAATTCTTACTATTGATAGTTTGAGGACTATTATCAGTAGGATTTCAGGTACATTGTATTTCTTCCAAGTATATGTTGTTCCCTACTGACTTTCTTGCACTAATTGTAATGTATATGACCATTAGTAACAGTTCATGAAACTGCTTCAATATATTTGATAGTATTTTATTGTATTTGTAGGTTTAGATGAGTTTTAAGTACATCATACTTAGCTATAAATTTAACTTCTAATGATCCTACCATGTAGTTAAATACTATGTTTCATGGACAATAAACTTCTTGGATTCAAGTCAAGCCTGGTGTATTCAAGTTTAAAACCTTGCCCATGTCTCAAAACATAACTGTATGATGAATGCCAACAAAAGTATGTTTTTTGATATAGAGGGTACATATCTTTCCTTGAACATCATCCTATTTCTACCAGTGTCAACTGTTTAATGATAGTAAAAATACTAAACATCTTAATAACTTAATGTTCTTACATTTTAAATATACATAAAATTTCATACTTCAAAGTTAGTTGTATACAGTTATAGTACATGGAAGAAACAGAACATTCAGTAATATAAATTATTTTTATATACACTGTTACGTTCATGAAATACACACAAAATCAGTTATTTTCAAATAGTTTTGTGTAAATTTTAAATACGTATAAGTTATAAATTACTTAAATATTTAGATTACTCGTATAAAATTTAAGTACTTTGAATACACAGAACATTAGAGATTTTGAAATTAATTTTGTATATATTTTAAATAAATACATGATGCACATTATTTAATGCTTGGAATATAAAAAATTGGATTCTTTTTACACAACTAAAATGTATGGACTTTTGATTAATAAGTATTTTATATAAATCACATTAAAACAGTTGACAACACCTAGCACTTGACTGGTGAATGAGTCTTCTTGTGATAAAGGTATCTTATATAATTTTAACACTTAAAAACAAAATTTTTGATACATTAAATTAAACTTGAATACAATTACAATATTTAGGGAGTATATAACAACTGATAGCTTATATTCTATACAATAAAAGTTCATGAAAGCTACAAAACATTCAGTTCTTTAAATTAGTTTCATATAGACAGAATATGTTGAATATACACTATATTTTATAATGCAAATTAATTTTATAGTCAGTTTATAATAATTGAAAGATGCAGGACATTCACAAATGTAAATTATTATTGCATACAATATAAATATATGAAAATAGAAAATCAGATATCTTAAATTAGCCTTGTCTAAATTTTAAATATTTATAAGATTAATTATGCTTGAACATAAATGTTTGGAAGATAGAAAACATTGGATACTTTGAATTAGAATTGCACACAGCTTATATTCTAGGAAGATGCACAACATTTGATTCCTTAATTCTCTCCTGTGTACAGTTTAAATACACAGGATATTTAGATATTTGAAATTAATCTTGTATATATTTTAAATAAGTGTAAGGTATAGATTATTCAGTACTTTATCTTGTCTACAATTTGAGTTCTTGGAAGATAGAAAAGTTGGGATACTGTAAGACTTGCATACAAACTACATGCTTGGAAGTTGTAAAACAGCACACCGAGTAGATCTTTTATATAACTGAAATATGTTGAAAATAAAGAACTTTTGATAGATTAGTAGTTATTTAAATTACATTTAAAAAAAAAAAGAGGAAACCATAACACTTTTGGTAGGTGGACCGGGGCCATACAAAGGGTAGTGTGACTGCACAGATTGCTGGCTTGTATAGGGCAGAAGTTTACATCTTTGAAGGTAAGGGGAGATTTTATATCTTGTGCAGGGCACAATAAACATTTGGTATAGCCCTAATGTGGACTTGTCATTTTCTGGGTGTAAATGCATTTTGTATAATTTCAATATTTACCAGATTTTGATAATTGAAATTAAACTGGAATACAGTTTAAACTTATAACATACAGAACACAATTCTTCAAATATCATTCTATACATTTGTCAGGTTTTGAAGATATAGAAAAACTGATGCTTTAAATTTGTCTTACTCAGTACATAAACATCAGTATAAAGACATTTTTAGATATTTGAAATTAGTATTCTATATTCTACTAATTTTAAATATATAGAATATTCAGAACATTAAATACTTTAATTTAGCTTTGTATAGAATTGAAATAATTGGAAAATACATGTTACTTAGAACCTTAAATTAGTTTTGTACACAATTTTAATTTTTGAAAGATGTGGAAATGTAAGATACAAAATTAATGTTGTGGATAATTTAGTTTAGAGGAAAATACAGATCAATCAAAACATTCAATTACTCATATAAAGTAAATATATATATGTGAAAGCAGTGACATAACTACTAAAGATGCCCCCCCCATAAAAAGTCATTATATCCCCTATATTATATCCACACCACAGTGTGGAAGTTATAAATGATTCCGTCCTTTAAATTTTTTTGTATACAACTTCAAATTTGAATCATTCAATATTTTAAGTTAGTTTATAGTTCAATAACTGAAACATCAGGAAATTTGACACTAGTCTTGTGTGGAAAAGTAAGACATTCAAGATTTGTAATTAATTTCAAATACTTGAAACAAAAATATTTGATTCTTTAAATTAGACCAGTTACACTTCATATATGTAGAAGATACAGAACATACATCTTAAATTAGCATTGGAAGCTACCATATGTTCAAATAATTATAATATTAATTTTTAGAAGACACATTCAATTCTTAAAATTAGTTTGATATTTTAAATTAGACTTGTATATATGCTTATAAAATGTACATATAATTCTATGAACCCGTGGGTAAAAGTAAAGGAGAACATGTTATATGACAGTCATACTATGTCTGCCATGTCCATTACTCGCAAAGCCTTCCTATACTTGTAAACAAAAATACAAAACATATAGTACTGCTACGACAGCGAAAGTCAGGCGACGCTGGGAGCATGCGCGCTGAAGTTTCTAGAAGGATCATGACTTATCGAGGAACCTCACGAATGTCCCAGTGTTTGCTAGATGCCTTCTGTTAACGATGCTATATCTGAGCCATCTTTGTGTAAGTGCTCACAGGCCATCATAATTGAGCAGTAAGAATTTGAGACGACATGAACAGATTTGTAATTACTGAACCACCTCACATCGACTGATTCTAGAAATTTTAGTTCAGGTTCTTCCAGTGACCTCTGAACCTCGTGCAACACACGTTCACGTTTTGATGACTTGTGGAATAATGAATATACGTCTTTGATGACATTAAGAATCCTCTTCACAGACACGATTATAATTCTAGCGCTCGTTAAAGCTAAAAATAAAAGATGGGCCTTACAATGTACATAAAGAATTTACCTTCCTGCTTTCTCTGAAAGTCGCTTACGTACACCACTTATTTTTCCTGAATAAGTGGCGGCATCATCGAAAGAAAGCAAGATAAATTATTGTCTTAAGTCCAAGTTCCTTTTCATCAGCTCTGTGTCAAGTGAACTCATAATGGTTTCAGAATTAGTGCTTGCTGGATCAGTAATACTCAATAATTTTTCTTTTACTTCTCCAAAGTCAGTCATATGGTGATTCAAAATTGACAACTAGTTCACATTGTTGATATCTGACGATTCGTCAGCCATTATAGAGTAATATTTGTTATTCAATTCCGAGAAGTCACGGTCATCTAGAACTTCGGCAATGCAGGTCAGCAGATCACGAGCTGTAGCTTTCCGATCGCTTTGATTTTCCACCCATTGCTTCTTGTAGCATAAGAAGATGAGAAATCAAATGTTCATACTTCGTAGTATGTGGGATTTCTTCTTTTGCTAAGAAGTAGACACTTCTCACTTGAACAAATAAAATGTGAAAAAGTCTTTCAAGACCCTCTTCATGAAACTTACGCATTGCTTGAGCGTGAGCATGTTTCTCGGATTTAGAATGTTTGTTGAGCTTTCGGGTATGCCCAGTTGCTTTTCGAAAGTTAGTAAACGGAGTTGTTATGAAAACACCAACTGTTCTATGTAGTGCATTTAAATCGTTTTTCAAAAATTCTCGTCAGTACTTACAAAACGCCTCTTCAAGGAATATATCAAAAACAGCCATTAATATTTATCTTCCCATTTCTTCTGGTATTTAACCAAAGTCGATGAAGAGGGTGAGGAAGTTGCAGCAGCAGGGATTGACAAATCAACATCACTAGTTCCGTCTGTTAAACACTAGACTCGACTGTTAAACTTCAGTTTGAGCCAGAGACTCAGCATGAGTACCACTACTCACAACCCGTAGTCTAGGGGTTTTTTTTATAACAAACTGTAGAATTGACTTCTGCAACATTCTTCACCACAGAAAAGTTCAAATCATAAAGTTTAATCACAACATTAGATAATGCACAAAACCACCAAATAACGTAAAAAACTGCTATACAAATAGTTTCCACACGAGCTTATAAAGTATGAACTGCTTTACTAGAAACGTCTACACGTCTAATAGTGTCCACACACTTTCAGAAATTTGAAGGATGTCTGGTAATAAGTCTATGTTTAGCTTATACAATCTGACTCTAATTCTGGATTCTTTGATACAAGCCCCTCCTTCTCGCGATACACATTAACTACTGTCAAGGTCAAACACGCATTTCTTTGAGAGGTCACCAGAATTTTGCGATATTCCGTTTGTATGATCGATGGGTCCAGGTGTTTGATGAAATAATAGTAAATCATGATTAATGGGTCACGACCATTATTTCAGGGGGAATTTTATTGCACAGGGAGAAATTCCCCTTGTACACCCCATGAATTCAACACTGAATATATAACATGACCAAGAAGGATTTCTGTCTGGAAGATTGATACTGTTACGTGTATACAAGTTGCTTCCATGATGTATTTGTTTAACTGTCACATACTTCAAGCAATTGGATAAAGACGTGGATATTCCTGTTATTCCATACAAAAATATACTTGTCAACTTGCCTGATGCAGCGTCTAAAGATCTGTGTATAAGCAAACTATCGAAAGAGGAGTTGGGAAACTGTCGTCCTTGCACACTTGGTGGATTATGGAAAGCAAGCAGGGAGAAATGGCGTGCTTTGGATACGACTGAGCTTTTGCAATGAATACCATGCTACAGGACTATTTTCAAAGATACACGATCGTCAGATAAAAGTATGACCAGGCGTGGCGACATCGACTATAATGGCGTCGTAAGGCTCCAAAATCGTTTTAATAAAATATACTCAACCACTGTAGAAAATTTGATACTTTAATTTTGTATAACAGTTTAAAACATGCAAGAGA